GAGAAGATTTTAATAGAAGAATTTTAATATCATAAATATCTCCATTATGAAGAATAATATTAAATAGACGATGAGCAAATTGATGATGATCGAGAATCATAATTTCTATAAAAATGAAAAAAAAATGATCAATCGTTTGTGAGAAATTTATATATATAATAAGCTTTAGGTGAATTTAAGCCGGAAACCACAAACGAGCATTCTCTCACCTTCTGTTATCCTTTCTCATACAAATAACACTTAATCGCTTCATTGAACTAGACATTTTTTTCCCAGAATGAAAAAAAAACAAACATATGATATGTTCGTTTTTTAAGTATCACTACTTGACCCGTGCCAACAATTTCGTGATTGACAGGTTAGTTGAAGAATTTTGATCTATTAATTCAAGTATATAGTTAAATGGATCATTTCCTTTATTTTTATGTATGTTTAACATCCGTTGAATAATATTATGTGTTGATTTTTTATATAAACAATTCACTAGTCAAGTTCGAATAATAACATACAAATTCAAACGACTTCGAGCTGCTTCTATGAATCATTCCTTTTCTTTCAATACATCATCACTATTTGCCTTGCAGCCAAATCATACTAGAAATACTAGTAAGACTGACGAGTTGTATTTCATGGATAATTGCACGACAGCTTGTATTGTATATATTTATATACGCAGACACACTCTCTATTTTTCTTCTATCTACATGCATGTTGCTATAGCTTGATGCGTTCACTTGGATAGCTCGAAGGGAAGTTCATACATTCTATACTATCCACTGTCTATATGGAAAAAAAAGTGACCATCCAACTGTTCATTTCTTTTATCTAACTGATTATATGAGCGGACAAGTGAGTGTGCCTTATCTTGAGCAATCGTCAGTATTAATGAATAAACGCATGTATGTCTAGAATAAGAAGAATACAAAACTCCTTTTTCTTCTTCTTTTTTTAATTGTATAGACATCAAAATGATTACTTATGTAGAGAATTGATGATCTTAACTAATGTATTTCTTATACTATTATGTGAGTTTCATTTCCTTCTTCTTATATGTTGAATAACTTTTAATTATATATGTGATATATATTGAGTTTAAAATATTCATCCTATCGTGATTCTGTTTTTTTCATGATAATGATCGGTGTCTACTTCTATCAACACCTTTATTTATTATATGACATGAGAAATGGGTGTGTGATGAAGTGTGAGAACGTATTTGCTTTCTCTCTTTCTTTTATATACGCTCATTTTAGTATAATATTTACTAATCGATCATACATAAGTCATATTCAATAAAAAAAATGAATCGATGTTCAAATTCACTATGTAAGTTTTTTTGTACATTCAACAAAATACTATATAATTTTTGTAGTTGATTCCAAGTAGAAAGTGCACTATTATGACTTTGTTTGTTGGGTAGTCTATCATTAGAGTAAGTGTTCTAGTGAAAATAACATTTGTTAAGAAGCATCTAACTATCTGTTTATCTATTTGGTTCAATGAAGAAAAAAGTCTAATTATACACCTTGTTTATATGAGCAATAACACCAGGGATAGATGTTTATCTAGGTTGATATTTCTCGATTAGTATAATGCGTATTTCTATGCCATTTGCAACGATCTTTTGAACAAATAATCGCTTGGGAGATCAATGCGTCTCAGAGTTAGTAATTAGTATCTCCATTTCTTTTTCTGTTCTTGTTTTTTCATGCATTACCATAGATGAGGAGAAGAAAAAATTCTTTAATTCGATCAGATAGTTTAGTATTTCTACTATAGATACTGCAAACACACACATATATATATTGATAGATAGATAGAAAGACAATGGCATTCCAGTTAATTTGATTTGACACTTTTCTTTGCTGTCTGCTGATGTGTTTTTTTTGTAGTTATTCGCGTATCAAAAAGTGATCATCATAGATTTTCTTCTCTTTTTTTCTTTCTTTCTGTTGTTCTAAGACTCTAAATAACAACGACATATAGGTGAATGACGAAAGAGAGAGAGAGGGAGGGAGCGAAAGGGTCAGAAAGAAAAAAGCTTAGAACACATACACTAAAGGAAATTAATAATGAACGTAAAGAACAGAGTGAGTACGAGCAACAAAAATTAGGACCTATCAAGATTTTTTTTCTTACTGTCAACTAAGTGAATATGAGAGAGAGAAAGAAAGCTTCTCTTTCCTCAAGTATTCTTCGTATTGATGATAAGACGAGAAAAACTGCTTATTGCTTCTAACTGAACTTTTTGACAATGTCATGCAACATTTTTAGAGTAGAATAGGGAAAAAAATCAGAGTTACATATATACATGTAGAGAGAACAGTACGTTCATGCTTTAGAAATCATGACATGAATCAAACCTTTTAGTTGTCGGCAAGATTAAGGATGTGAAAGAAGTAACCTTGATTTAGCGCATTTGTTTTCCTTTTTACTTGAGGCAATGATTGATTTTAGACAATCGGTTTTTTTTCTTCTTCTTTATTTAGAATGTCTCATTATTCGTAAATGAACCGATGACATGATTTATAACATTGACAGTAGCATTATTTTGCTACTGTCTCTAAGAATTTTTGTCGTTAAATCGACAGCATTCTATCAAAATGATTATGAACCACGTGTATTCGATTATATTCCAACGAATTGTTATGATTGTTTATCATATCGTGATATTATACTAACACAATTAACTACAATTCCAGCACGATCATTTGCAGATTTTAATTTAGGTTCACGAGATACTAATATGATATTAAATGGACAATTAAAATTAATCTTTCAACCATATGCATTTCAATCACTCATTGTACAAAAACCAAATAATACTTTAACAATTACATTTGCAGCACCAAATTCATGGTTAAATATAACAGAAAATACTTTTAATGGTCTTGATCTTCGACCTTATTCAACATTACGTATCATTATTAAGTTCTTCTATGGTTGTACATTTCAATCAAATTCTTTATCAGGTATTAAAATGGGTAAACATTCTCGTTTAATTATTGATATCTCATCTGTTACTCAAATTAATTTTCAACCTAATATTATTGAACAAAATGAATTAACATCATCTGTTGATTTTCTAATCTCACGTACTGATACGATTGTATTTAATTCATATTCATTTTCATCATTAAATATTAATCCGAATCAAACAGTATCATTTCATTTTGAATTGATATCACATATATATTTAAAATCTTATTCATTTCAATCGTTACAATTACAAACATCAAGTTCATTTCGTTTCTATGCATTATTTTTAAATCGTTTAACAATTGATTCTTATGTATTTCAAAATATGTCTTTAGATACAAATTCAATATTTAATTTAACAATTCAAACATTAGGTGCATGTTTATGTTTAAAATCATATACATTTGATAATATACATCAAATACCCGAAAGTCAAAATATTAAAATTTTATTAGCATTTAATACACTTCGTGGTTTATCATTTTTTTCAAATACATTTTCAAATTTATCTTTAAATAATGCACAAAATCAATTACAAATTAGTTCAGATAATCCATTAAATGATCCAAATCCTATGATAAATTTTGCAAAAGATACATTCTCTTCAATTAATCCAGGTTTAATCACACTAAATTTTTCCTCAACTTCAGTAATTCGATTCGAAAAGAATTCTTTAAAAACAGACGATCTATTCTATAATATTCATTTCAAAGATATTATATTAGTTGATTTATCATCACTCAATTCAAGTAGTATTAAAACAGATATGAACTTATATTTTGATCGTGTTCGTTATGTTAAATGGTTTAAATCAACTGAAAAAAATCTAATGTAAGTCAAATATCTCTTTATGATTATATGACAATTGTTTTGTTTTGTATTTTAGTAATCAACGATCTATAATTCAATTTCATTTTAATCATATTTCAAGTAGTTCATGTCTTATATATGAAGCTCCTCGTTCAATACCTTGGTTATTTTCAAATTCGAATACAACGATATGTAATTGTCCATTACTTTTTGCTTATAAACTTGGTCAATTAGATGGACAATTCATTCCTTGTATACATGCGCTATCTGGTCATGAAACAGCATTTAAAATGGATGAATGTCATTTTAATCGTAAAGAAAATCTATGTTCTTCAACACTTCAAACTTTAATGGATTTCAATCATAATGCAACAAGTTATTCAACAATAACAAATTCATTAGAATTAGATAATTCATTAATTCGACAATTGTATGATAGAAATTATTTATCATGTTCATATAATTATTCATCATATTCATCAACATTTATTGTTCGTACACGTTTATTTAATAATTTAGGTCTTGTTATTGGAATTATTCTTGCTATATTTATTATTTTACTTATTCTTGTTATGGCATTATTAAATGGTTTACAATATAAAATGAGAGAATATGATGAATCATGGACATGGAGACGAAATATGTCTTGGACATCATTACGACGAACAATATCTCAAACATCTTTACGACGTTCAAGAAGAGATTTACGTACTATAAATGGAACTGTAACAACATCAAAATCTGATAATCAACTTGATCGTTTAAGATATGATCAAGCCGATAGTGATGAACAAGAATTAGATCATGATTATATTCCATCACAATGTATACATACATCAATCCATGAAAACTTAAAAAAAGCTAATCCAATATAAAATGAAAAAAAAATTTTCTTTTTTTGTGATATTTCTATTTTACTTTTTTTCTTTTCATTTTAAATACATCGAACAAATACTAAAATTTTCTAAATTATTTCAAGCAAGGTTATGTACGATCTTTGATTCGGAAATGACATTTTGTCGTTTAAATTAAATTTTATTGTTC